ACTGTCTCCGCCCCCGCCCCTCCCTGCTCCCCCGGACCGCCACCTCCCCTCCTGCCCCTCCCTCGGAGCCGGGACCCAGAGACCTCGGGGCCCAGACGCACTCCAGTGACAGACGCCGACTGACGGACAGACACGCAGTGACAGACACGACCCAAAGACCCGGCGGCGGGGCAGACACCCACGTGACAGACGGACAGAAGCCCGCAGAGACAGACACGGGCAGACTGACGGACTCCTGCCGTGACAGCCACAGACAAACGCAGCGACCGACTCTTATGGACGGACCCACACACTGACAGCCTCCGTCAAGGCTGGAGAAGTGGCGAGGTCGAGGGGCCGCACGAATGGCATCCCGGCCACGGTACAGCCAAGGGTGGCGCGGGAGGTGAAAGTGCGGCTGAAGACCCCTCCGGGGTCCGGGGTACTGGGGAAGAAAAGGTGATGTGGGACACTGCTGGGAGCCAGGGGACACCTGTGGGAACGGAGATGTGAGCATGGGATCTCGAGTGGAAATGATAGACCTCCATGGGGAAAGCAGCCCCCAGGAGCAGGAAGAGGTGACTCGGGGACACCCGAGAAGGAAGGCCAAGGTGGTGGCACGCGCAAAGCTGCGGAGCGAGGCCGCACTCTTCTGCCGCAATGGAAACTTCCGGAACCCCCGCGGGTGGGTTTGCGCTGGTTCCCTGACGGGTGACCTCGGACTTTCGTCACCAGGGTCCAGTTGGGGCATGACATCACCAGGCCAAGCTTTCATTGGCCACGTTGGCCGGCAGGTGGGAGCGGCCTGTCCTGGGCGACCCCAGTGTGCTCCGAAGGGCCTGAGCCGGACTGACCCCCACGCCCCACCTCCAGGGAGTCACCCAGGGGAACGCTGCTGCCGCAGCGGCGGGCCCCCGCGCGGGAGAGAGTGCGGCGCTGTGCCCTCGCGCGTTCTCTGCGCGAAAGCGCTGCTTCTCCGGGGCGGCTGGCTGGGGAGCCTCCGGGCCGCAGCGTGGGAGACCCGCCGACCAGAGCGAACGTCGGGGCGTGCGTGCGCGCGCGCGGCGGTGCGGGAAGCTGCGTGAGGCGTGCGCGCGCATGCTCGTTCTGACCGCCGCGCGCCCCGCAGCGCCGCGGTCCCGTCCGCCGCCGCCAGGGACCGGGGATAACAGGTCTTGGAGTCCCACGGAGAGTGGCTGGGTTCACCAGAATCCAGCATCTTGCTTAGTCCCGGGTGGCGCGGTTCTCAAACTCTCCAAACTGAGCGCGCCCGCAGCCCACCTGTCCCCGCGAATCGGCTCCCGCAGGCCCGGGTACCCGCGCTGGGTCCGCGCTTGCTTGCTGGCAGCGGTCGCCAGGTGGCGCCAAGGGCAGCCGCTCAGGCCCGAGAATCTGGGCTGCGGTAGCGACGGGGGAGAGATTAATCCCTCGCCTCTTTTTGCCTACTCTGGCTCTCTGCGCTCCCCTCGTAGGCACTCCAAGTGCCCTGCCTGGACGCTGAGGTTCCCATACCGGACCTTCAGCGTCCTGGCCCCGTAGTGAGGGCTTTCCGCTGGTCAGAGCACTTCGCCTGCTGGTGCTCATTGAGGAGCAGGCAGGAGAGCTGTTGAAATAGGGGTCTGATGGTGCAGGAGAGAAGGGGCCGAACATGGTAGTTATTAGAATTATTAGAATGATAGAAAAAAAACGCAGTCCTGAGGCTGTAGGGACTTTTGTATTGAAACGACCCTGCTGCTGGTGGGGGTTTGCCCTCCCGTCACTGTCTGAAAACAATGTGCACACAAGCCTGTCTCGCCTAACCTTGGTTATTGTGAGAGCCTGGGCCTGAGCTGTGGAGACAGGGAGGGCAGGGAGTTTTCATGAACAAATGGCAGCTTACACAGCTGAGCAGCAGTCTTGGGGGCTGGAATCCCCCAGGGAGGGAGGTCCTATAGTCAGCTGGTTTAGGGTAAGTGGTTTAGCCCAGGGGAAACGCGCCCAGATGTGTATGCAGGGGTGGCATCTTGAACCAGGAAGAGGGCAGTTCCTGCTTACGTGGGATGGCAGCAGTTCCTGTGAGGTGGTCCATGGGAAGAGAAAGTGGTTTGTGGGGCCAGAAGCCCCTGAGAACTTAGCTCCTTTCTTGGGGGTGCTGTGGGAGGTTGGAGGGCAGGAGAGGGAA